CTCATTTCATAGACAAATTTTTTTTTATAAATTCCACTAACCTTAATTCTAATTCTAACCTGACCTTAACGACAATGACCAGAATTATTTTGTCGGTGAAATAAGTTTCGGTGAAATAAACTGTCGGTGAAATGGAAAATAAATGTCGGTGAAATAACATGTCGGTGAATTGTTGTCGGTGAAATGTTATTTCTACGAAACGAGCGTCGGTGAAGTGAGCTGAACCGGGTCCCGATTTCAGTTCTCGTGAGGTTTTCAGGTGTCCTGACATTTTTATTTAGAGTACCCGATCCCGTTTACGTACTTAGTACTTTTTGAGATACAGCACCCCGGTGAATTTCATCTCCGGTGAAAATTAGCAATTCTCTAAAAAAATGTTTATATATATTTTTAACCAATCAGAATTCGTAACGCTGGTCAGTTTTGGTAACATGATTAATAAAGTCTTTGCTGTGCTGTGATTAGCTTATTAAATTTGGGGGCAGTTAACCAGGAGGAGGGTGACGTTACAAACTAATCAACTTTGAACGGTCTAATACACCAACTCACTCCAAACATTATGGTTCTTGTTAACTAAATAAGCAAAAATAAAGAATATCTAATACGTTAAATAACTACTTACTAAACTAATGAATTAATTGATGAAACAGAACAGAGATAACATGTACTTTTTCTTTACGATGCTATGTATCATCGAAAACTTTTTTTTATTGAAAAATTAGTAAAAAAAGTATCTTATTAATTAAAGAAATCTATCATGTTTAAAGATGATGATATATTATTAGATTTAATAATTATTTAAAACAGGCGTCATTTTTTCATAAAAAAGAATAAGAAGTATATTAAACACATATAAAAAGCATAGAAACAGTAATAGAAATAAAAATTTGATTATTTATTTATTTGGTTATCTATAAATAAATAATTTGAAGCATAAAAAAAAAATATACATAAAAAAAGCATACGCATCATATTCTCTAAAATTAATTTTTTGACTTAAAGAAAAATAAAAATAGCATACAAACTCTATTGTTTTTTCATTAATCTTCACTGGTCCATTTGAGTTAAAACTTTTTTAAGTTGTTCAGTTTTTAAAGTTATGAGAGTGAGACAATAATTCAATCCAGAGTTGATATATATTTTTTCTGTGAATAAATCTGCTACAGCAACGATCGGAAAATAATTGTCTCATTGATCTAATAGATCGTGAAGCATCGAAGCCTGGCATTATTGACAACAATATATCATTATCAATGCGTATAAACATAATAAGGCATCATATTACCATTATGAATTTAACAAGTAAACTTACTAAATTATAGTCCATTATTTTTCGAATCATTTCCGCTTGCAGTTGCACCAGCATATATATTTTGACAAGCATCATCAACTTTACAAATTTTATAAGCTGCTGCTGTTCTCTTTAAAATATTTGTATTTTTTTTACTAATGGAAAAACTTTCACTACTACAACTTTTGCAACCGACATCATCTTCAATGTGCGAAAGTTGAGAAACTAGCTTTTTCCATGTAACTGGAGAATATATCACATTTTTTCGTCCTTCAACATTTTCAATTAATCTTTCTGTCAAAGCTTTATTTTTATCACCAGGAAATACAATAAATATTACTAATGATCTCAATGAATTGTTACAATTCATTTCGATCTTTCTTAACTCTGATACGGCTTTTACGACCTCTTCTTCATTATTTTCATATAAACTTATAAATATTATGTCATAAGCGAATTGTTTATGTGATTCTGCATGATCTTTTGCTTTCTGAATACCTTTATCAAAATTGTCAAGCGCATCAATTTTTTCAATACTTTTAAGATATTTTGTTATTGCATTTCTTGTACTTTCAACAGGATGAATTATTAATATTCGCTTTGATTTAATTGAATGTGGTAATAAATAACTTATTTCTTCATCAAATAATGTTTCTAAATACAAATTATTTTGATATTTTGATAGAGTTTGTAATAATTCGATATTCCATGTAAGCCAAAATTTACTTCCTTTTCCTAATTGACTTTCTGCTTTAATTTCACCACCATTAATTGCTACTAGATTTTTACAGATTGAGAGACCAAGTCCCGTACCATCCTGTCTCCTAGTTATTGACGTGTCACCTTTCGAAAAGCTTTCCCAAATATGTTCAATAAATTCAGGATCAATGCTATTATTAAATAAATTGTTAAAATGATATGGATAAAAGAACTTAAAATCACGTATAAATAATTATTATATACGTAGTTAATTTACCCAATGCCAGTATCCGATAATTCTATTAGTAAGCAATCATTTATAACAGTTTGACCATAAGTTGGACTCTCATTATTTTCATCAACGACTTCTCGTGTTTGCATTGAAACATTCATTACGACTTCACCTTTTTCAGTAAATTTGATACTAAAAAAAAAAATAAAATTTGGAATAAATTACTATTTATATAATGTCGGGGATGATGCTGAAATTAGCTGATGCTGAAATTTAGAGTCCCCATTTAAATCTATAATACCTACTAAAATTCATATATACTTTTTTACTAACAACACTAACCCTAAGCCCTAACCTAACCCTAAAAAAAACCCTAACGAAAAGGCCCGAAAATTTTTTTAAAATTTCATAATAAAATTTCAGCATCATCCGATTTCAGCATCATCCCCGACATATAATAATAATAATAAACGATAATAACAAGTTATCCGGCAAACTCATACGAACATGAAAAAATTTCTTTTGTTATTTTTTCATGTGTTACGAGTAATTATGTTTATTCCAGCATTCAATATTAAAACTCAACGAGCGACTCCCTACCAATCATGATCATAAATTGCCAGATAACACCGATATTGGACAAATTGTCAAACACGGTAATTTGACAATGATTGGCTACACGTTCCGCAAAGCGGCACGTGCTCATTTGCCAAATTACCGTTATTCGACAATTTTTGCCCAATATTGTACATATTGAAATATACTTACGAATTTGACAGTAGATGAATCAAAACTTGTCTCAATCTATATAAATATAATAGGTACAGAGTAAATTATTTTTACAAATCATTCTTGGTGCAATAAAAATAATTAAATTACCTATCAGGATCACTTTTAACATATCTCGGCAACTTATCTACTTCACAACTTAAAATTAACTCAATTTGTTTATCACCAGCTCCTTCTCCAAACTGTTCAATAGTTTCTGATAATAATCCCAATAAATTAAATGTTCTATTTATTAACGTGATTTTTTGTGCTTCTAATCTTGCTGCATCTAGAATATCGTTGACTATGGACAATACAATATCTGAAGCACGTGCCATAATATTTATCATGTCCCTTTGATCTCCATCATCCAAACCAGTGCTCTCTAAGGAAGAAAGTATGCCTACTATTGCTCCTAGTGGATTTCGCAACTCTAAAAATATATATTATGATTAAATTAATTAGAACTAATTAAACTAATTAAAAATGAGAAAAATTTTCATAAATTTTATACCGTGAGAAGTACGAGCCAGTATTTCACTTTTATCATTATTCGCTTTTTCAGCATCTTTTATCTGTATTTCTTGTTCTGAACATTCTTCACATAATTTAGCATAAATACTAGCCAAATTTATTTGATTTGACATTTGTTGTAATAGTTCTATTTCTGAATTGAGCCAAATAGAATTTGGTGATCGATATGCCTTTATCCATCCCCAACGATCATTATTCACTCTTATTTCTACAGATAACATTGACATATTTTTACAAATATCTTTGCAATATGTATCACCCAAAATTTCTACTTTAAAATTATTATTTAAAAATTCTTGTGTATTGATATTTGTCGGTGATTTGCTATCATCATCAATTTCTAATTGTTGTAGTGGTTCGGTTATCGACGTAATACATGACGAATCTTCGTATATAGTATGAGGTATATATTCGGATGGTTCACTTGAAACAATAGATATTCTTTTACACGGTAATATATGATGAATTTCTTTGACAACATATGAAAGAATTTCTCTTAATTTAATTCCAGATAGAATTTTGCTTGAAATTGAAAGTAATAAAATATTTGTTGCTTCATCATTACGTCGTTGTAATAATAACTTATTGCGAAGTTGAGAAAGTTCGATATTAGCATGAATACGTGCAATTAACTCTCGTATACAAAATGGTTTTACTAAATAATCATCTATTTTATCCGATCCTAAAATAAGCAAACAAAAGTCAGATATGACTAAGTAGTGCGTAGTTTATTATCATAGAAGCGAACTCAAGTGATGTAATTGATCAAAACCGTATTTCATTCGGATAGTAAATATTAGGTAATGCGTAACTAGGGACGCTAATGACTCGACTCAAGTCGATGACTTAGGGCTTTAAGTCAATAATTATTTTAACTGTCAAGACGGTCGACTTAAGTTGATAAATGTGACAGCTTACGCTGAAATTCGGATGCTAAATTAACGCATCTGAGTAAATCCAGGTTATAATACAGTATATATGCACATGTGATCGGCCAAGAGTAAAAGTCGATGCAGGTCGAGTCAAAGTCTGTCGGGTCGAGTCGTTAGCATACCTATGCGTAACTAGGGGTATGAATAGTCCGGACCGATTCGACTCGACTTCAAAGTCGAGTCTTTATTAATGTTCAGTCAAAAGTCAAGCTTGGGGCTCAACTAGCATTTACACGTGCATCTTTTATAGCAGAAAATGCATGCAAAGTATGCATGAGTACACATATTTTCTGCAATGCTTAAATGTAAAAGATGCACATATAAACGCGAGTCATGTATGCGATTTTTTACTCGACTATCGGAGTCGAGTCGAACCGGTCCAAACTTTTCACATCCCTTACGTAATAATGTGTCCGGAACTAATCATGTGATAATCTTCATGAATTCAGCCAATCAGCATCATGAAAGAGAACATGCAGATTTCTTCGCGTGATATTATCAATCACACTACACTCTCGAAAAAAAAGTATCCTTTCACTTAAACTCATACAGGAGGTCCCTAAAATTCCGGGCCGGAATCACAAATTTTGCTAATGAAAGCATAACCTGTTATTAAATTTAAAAAAATGCCCAAATGATAATTTGCCGGTAAAGCTCGACCCGGAATTTTGGATATTGGCCTGTAAAAAATCTTAGCGTCGCTCCGGACAATCTATAATTTAATAATCACATGTAAATCAAATTACCTTCAATATTAGAGATTTCTACATCCTTTGTGGATAATAAAATTACAGGAATTGATTTCTTTATATCTGATTTTAATATTTCTAATAGGTCGTATCCATTCACGTTTAACATCATAGCATCTATATAAATTTAATAATAATTATTATTATTATTGTGTAACATACTAATTCGAAGAATGGAAGAATGTTGTGATTATATAATTACCACTAAGAATTAAATCGGGCAGTTTATTAATGCTTTTTAAAGTTTGTGTAGCTTCCTGACCGCTGCAAACATGATGTACGTCAAATTCATTTGATAAATCCACAAGATAATCTCTATAAATACGCATAACAGAAATAAGAAATTAAATTAGTAAAGTATAGTATCTTAAAAGTCTAAATTAAAAAAAAATTTATACCGTATATCAACAATGTCGTTAATAAGCAATATTTGATTTTTTTTCTTGGTAATAATCGCAGGAATATTTATAGAAATAGTATCTTCTGTTGTTATTTTATCAGCATTATCAGTATTATCAGCATTATCAGTATCCATGCTGTAATCACCTATTATAGTATCATTATTTTCTGAATAAAGCTGTCGCTTTGAATATAACCTCTGATCTTGATTTGTCAAATTTTCATCATCATTATTGTATATTTGATTTATTGGTAAATGACGACAACCTACTGGAAACCAACATTTAAACGTTGTCCCCTGATTTGCTGCGGAGATCACTGTAATATCTCCACCATGACGAGTGACAAGTTGTTTGACAAGAGAAAGTCCTATATAATTGCTTAAGCATTGGGATTCTGCATAAGAAAAGCGCTGGAATATTTTAGAAAGAACGTCTTCAGGGATATTATCACCTGAATTAAGCCGATAAATTAATAACTTAAATACATAAAAATTCTATGTTTAATAAAATATATATTAACCAGAATCAGAGACATCAAGAGCTATCATCTTTTTTTCATCTTTGAAGTCAAGATATAAACGGATACTGATATATCCATTCGATGTACGCTTTATTGCATTTGAAACTTTAAACGATAGAAGTCGTTGTTAAGATGTAAGAATTTTTACGAATTTAAATTAAAAAAAAAGATTACTTGTCTTTGTTATAAAATGCTTACAAAGGTTAAACATTATCGCTTTATACATATCGTGGTCCAAGTAAACTTTGTCACCCACAACTTGATTAAAATCAGTTGGATCCGGGATATTTGCAGTAAAATCTAAATGTAGTATTCTAGCCACATTTTCAAAATCAATGGCTAAATCACGAGTAAATTGAGCTATGTTCGTTTCGTAATAACGTGCGCCTAATCGATTAGCTTCTATACTTAAAAACTATAAATGAGAATATTTAATAAATGATATATAATATATAATATTTGATATGGAAAAATTATGATACCTGAAGTAAAATGTTAATATTAAGTTGCATAAGTTTAAGATGCGGCATTAATGGTGTGTACTGTGGATATTCATTAATTCTTTCGTCAAGTGGCGAGAGCATCAACGTTAATGGTGCTATTATAGTTAAAAAAAAAAAAAAAACTTTTAAATATTTTGCCATATATATTTACCATATATACTTATCATATTTTCATATCTATCAAATTTATCATGTTTTGTGCGAAAGAAATCTTTGTAATACTTTGTAGTGCGTCACAGATATTTTGGAAGAACAAGTCTTTTTGACTATTTAAACTGGTATGTATTTCCGATCGTTTTTGTTCTTCCATTGATTTTCCATGCGTCAAGCATAAATTCATCTGACTTACGACCAACTAACAAAATATAGTGTGTTAAGTATTTTTATTATTATTATTATTATTATTATTATTAATTTATTATTATTATTATTATTAAATGATAAATTTTAACAAATGATTATGTAGAAATTTGATTTGCATACTTTTAAAAATTCCATATATTGTTCGTCAAGTTTTCTATGTGAATTAATACCGCAGATCAATATAGCTGATGAAGGTTGATCACAGGAAGGAATTTTTGTCGGTAAAAGCACTGCTTGAGAACCATCTTTTAGGGTAACCTTTACATGTTTATCTTCCTTTATTACAAGATGGATTGGCCAATATTTGCATATTGGGAGCGAACCAGTCGATGTCACTTGTTTTATATAATTGTAATTCTCATCTATATCCTTAGATAAATCAATTATTTCAGGAGTTTCAGGAAAATAGTCAGGAAAATGCCTTTTTACTTTTCCATAAACAACATTCCCATTTATATAGCCATCATCAAAAGTTGTAATGGCTAAATGAGCAATATGAGATTTAAAACCTGACAAAGATTTTTTACTATCATTATTTTCAACAAGATAAATTAATGCATAAGGAATATCAGCATTATTGTGTAAAACTGTCTTCATAATTTCACAGGAGCTAGCTAAGGACACAGCATCTTTAAAAACGTTAAACGTAATACAAGTATGTTAAGATTTTAAATAAATTTTAAGAAAATATTGTGAAAACTAACTACTAACCAGAAGTTCTACTTCTAAGTTCTTCAAGAGTTCTTAATCTCTGTATGTTTAAAGCATTTTGAGTAACATCACGCATTGCATTAAGTACACCCCAAACAGTACCGTCAGATTTGAACAATGGACTAAGTGAATAATCAAAATATGCTTCTTCAACATTTCCATTGCGTTGAAATTTAAAATATTTAGCATTTTCAACTATGCCTTTTCCTGTTGCTCTTATGCTAAATAGTTATTTAGGCAAAAGTTTATTAACGAATATAAGTATATATTTTAAAAATAAAATTATGTTGCAATTTTTATATATGTACTGTACGTACATAATTGTCCAACTTACTTTTCTAATTTTGGTTTAAGAACATTGTCATACATTTCAGGCCAAACCTGAGCAGCAGGTTTTCCCAAGGCTATTTAATGGTAAGATCATACATATATTTAGCTTGATAAGTAATGTCATATTGCGTAAGTGTCATAATCAACATGTGATTATTACTGACCATGTTGATTATTTGTCATTAACATTGATCTCCACGCTTCGTATATAAAAAGAAATTATATACATCTATTATTTAAAAATTATTTATGCCAAAAAAAAAAAAAAAACCAATAAATTTATTACCTTCATTGTATATCAAAGTCCAATCAGGACCTACATATAGAACAATAGGGAGTGCGGTTTGGAGGCATATATTCTAACAAAGGCACGTGATTTGTGAATCAGGAAATTTAAATGGGATCCGTTAAAAATCTCGACGACCAAAATCCCAATAAGGACGAGTTAGCCCACATTAATAATAATGCAGGCCAATTTTGTCATTATTACGCTGTTTATAAGGATTATATATGTCGGGATTTTGTATAGACCCATTTTTAAATCTATTTATATGAAGTTTTATAAAATTTACCACAGAGGCTTTGAATGCAGGTTCCCATGAGTCCATAGGACCAAGTGAGGTTGTTGACCAGTCATAATTATTGAGAATATCGACAAGGTTTGATTCCTCATTCTCAATCTTACCTCGGTTGTTGGTCAAAGGAAGCAACATATAAGCTTAGAAATGAATGACAAGACTATCAAAGAGAAAGGTCAATAAGTTAGATATAAAAAATAAGTAGAGAAGAGAAGAAAAAAATGTGCATACATGTGTAGAATGCTTTGCTAATTATTTAAAGAATGATTATAAAAAAAAAAAAAAAAAACTTTAGCATTTAAATATGCTTTTTGCAAAAATGCAAATTTTTGTTTTAAGAATTGTGCTTTTATATAGTTGTTGGGAATTTCTTTCTTTTCGTATCCGCATACGTATTACAAATACTATCATTGTGCAGTTTCTTGCATAAAACAGTACCATTTAGAATTTAATAACATTCTTGCTTAACAACTTGTAAGCACGCGTTTGTTAAACATTACTTTTTTAAAATATGTGGCGTAATGTTGAGAAACAAAGTAAATCGGTTTTATTTAACAAAGTTTCGTAGTACTTACCAATCTTTAACATTAAACTTTGAAATACAACTTTTTTCCTCTTGTCTTTTCTAAAAGTCAAGGCGAAAACATATAAGTAATTATATACAATGGAAATAATCACTTTCTTAATTTACTTCGTGTCATGCATATTACTTAATGATTAGTAATATTTTACGTAAGCAGGCACTGTAGTACAGTAGGGAAATACAGTATTCCACTCGAGAATTTTACCGGCATATGAATAACAAAAACCCTAAGTACTCAACGAAGCATATCAAATGACATCAATTACATGCACATTTTAATAACTTCGGAGTTATAATAGCAGAAAATTAAATACAACTAATATAATTAATATAAATTTTAACAAATAAATCAAATAGACTAACTTAATTTTGCTAAATTAAGTTAATTTCATTTATGCAAAACGGCAAATAAATTATTCCTTTAGTATGCTTTTTATTCATCCAATAAATATTCTTGATAAAAAATTATATTCATTGAGTACGTACTTACTGGAACGTACATACGTAATTGAAACGTAGGAATACAAGACGTATAATAAACTAGTACTATTAATATAACACAACACAATGAAAATTTTACAAGGAATAAAATTCATTTTATATTACATGAGTGATTAACTACATGGGTACCAAACAAAAGGGGATATCTTGATCCGTGGGGATGTTCCTATATGTGATTGCCTCGTGCATTATTCGTGCACTCTTGTGCAAATTGTTGAATGAAAAAATTATGCATGTTTATATTTAATATAAAAATAAAAAAAAAGATAAAAAAATTGATATACGTGTAGAATTAGTTTTTTATGCACATCAGTATGTCTTTAATGTTCACGCATTATTTGCTTAAATTTTTTAAGTAAGGATCGTAAAAGTCGACTTCTTTTTTATCCTCGGACGATTCTAAACGAATTTCTTTAGGATCGACTGCAGAAGGATGTTGCAAAATTGTGGTACAAATTCTTGGTGTTGCAAACAATTGGCTAATTTAAATATTTTTTATCCAAAAAAGCTATAGTTTAAAATTTGATCGTCCCGCCGTTTACTCCAATGACCTTTCAGAGATCTGGCGTAACATGACGCACTATTACACAGATCGCGTGGTTTTATGCTGTTGGGCTTTCCAAAGATTTTAATATCGGATATTGGCGATTTTATAGATGGAAAATCATAAATCATAGGAAGAAGATTTTCGTAAATTTAACTATCTAATCCTACATTATACAAATTTACCCTTAAAATATTTCAAAAAAATAAACAAATAAAAAGTATTACAAAGTTTTAGAATTAACTCTAATATTATTATATATAGTAGCTGATAAAAAATAGGTAAATCTTTTTTAATTAAAAATGGTGTCTAGGCTAGCGTTACAAACTTAATTAAATTTAATTGTTAAAATAATTACTTTACAAAAAATATTACTAATACAAAATTACAATATTTACAAAAATTACAGCAACATACGGTAATAATTTTGTCATTGATAAATATATAATCAATTTAAGCTATCATTATTTATGAAAAAATTGTATGATCAATTAAGCTATCGCTATCCACGACAAAAATAAAATAATTTTATTATACTGAAATCCCTCTTGAACTTGTCCTTATTAATATGATCGATGAACTAGCTTCTACAAATTTATTTTTAAACATGCCAAACCAACTATCTCAAAATATACGTGTATAGAAAACAAAATAGAACACTAAACCGAAAAAATGCAGATCGCCCAAAAGGAAAAATTTGTGATTATTATATAACAAAAAATGTTACTAATACCCGTAGTGTAACTTGCCATTATTGTATTGGAGCTGTGGACGTCTTACAGAAATGGAAGCTCATCTTGCAAATATTTGTCCTGATGTTCTTAAAGATATAAAAGAACATTGGCAAGAATTACTTTCGAATAAATTATTAATTGCAAGCAAACATAAAGCTCACAATACAATAAATATGGTCTATCACCGCATGAGCTAAATGAAATTGACAAAGCTATGTTAAAGTTTATATTTAATTGATGCAATGCCTTTTATTGTACATAGTTTAAATACTTATAATGCAAAAATTATTAAAAATACAAAAAATATAATTAATTTTGATTTTTGCTTTTATAATACCCAAATTAATTTATTTAAGTTTGTAACGCTAGTCTAGGTATAACCAATAAATCTGAATCTACTGGTACAGTACATTTTCTTTTACTATGATTTTTATTTTTATATGACAAATGAATCCCTAATCACGCAACGTGATTTAAAGTCCGCTAATGATTAGTAATAATGATTACTAATCATTACCAAAACCTATATATTAATTGCCACGCTACATGATGTCAGTTTTGCCTTAAGCTTGATTCTTTATCATAATACTAATTGGGCACAAAAAGTTGATTAGTAATATATATTATTCTGCCATTAATTATTATTAAAACTAAGTTTCCAGTTATACATATTTTGCTGCGATATTAATATAGTAATGGGTGGCTGTACTTTCGTACGGAAATTCATCTAATAAGATCTAATAGGGTTGTAAATTGACACATTCGATTCAAATTTACCCATCCTATAAACGATAGCATATTAAGCCATAAGCATTTTATACAGATTATTGAGCTATGCTGGCCAGACACTAAAGCGCACGGGCATTAGAAATTAATTTAATAGTTGAACTAAATACAAATGATCTCACGCTAAATTGATATTAATAGTAAATCTGTAAATACTGAAATTAAATGTGTATTAATAAATAATATTCATCACACTTTACTAACAAATAAATATTACTGTATGAATTGCTTAAAAATCAATTTGTAAGAACTTAAAAGTCTGACCATTTCTTAATTAGTGTTCGCCGAGTGAAAATCAGCTAGACTAAAATAGCTTATTATGAATTTCATAATATATTTATTAAAAATCTATCAGTTGTTATAGATCTTTAGTTTCTTGTGCACACGATAATGAAGTTTTTAAGTGTAAGTCGAATGTGCTATAACGAATTAGTAGTGAAATGGCACGATATTGGTGGTTTTATATCACAACGTATATTTTATATAAATCTATATGGAAGTTTTATTTAACTATATAAAAAAACCTTAATTAGATAATATATTTAAATTATACAACCCAATATAGTTATTTATATAGATCTATATATATTTTATATAGAATTATATAAATTTTTTAATTTAATTTTACAGATGCTAGCACTTTTTTTTAGATATAATTATAATCATTTGAAGAAGAGAAAATTTTATTATTTACAAAAAATTAGCCAATAAGTAATACTTTTCTAAATGTATTTTATTATTATTGTTATTATTATTTTAATATTTGCAAAATTTTAAATATAGTACCCACACCAGACTTTATTAATACTTGGTAAATTGATATATAGCAGTGCTATAATATATATATATTATATATAAATATTAGAACTATAACTTTAAATTATACAAACCAAAAAAATATCAACTCTTCCTAATAATCCCTTGGACCAACTTTTCAAAACCAAATTTTCAACAAAAGTAGTAAAATTATGTTAGAGAAGAAGAACATAAGACTGACAAAAACCATAAACTAGCACTTATTATTTAGAGATAGTTCTCATATGCTATCTGCTAATAGGTTTAGAGCTTATCACTCACTATGGGGATGGCACTTGTTATTTAGAAGTAGTTCTTATATGCTACTTGCTAACAAGTTTAGAGTTTATTACTTACTGAAAAGAAGAGCAGCAGTATGCTTAGATCTACTTATATTACTACTTTTGAAAAAACATATATTCTTTTTGAAAAAAAGTATTAGGTCTATATTCTTTACTATCACTCACTTGTGTTTTCAAAAAAATTTTTGAAAAAAGTAAGCAAAACAGCTTACCTTCATCAAAAAATCAGCATTGTTTACTTTTTTCAAATCAGGATGACCAGGTGGATTGCAACCATGTGTTTGGTGTAATTATGAAAGTAAACATAGTATTATCTACAGAAAATCAGGGCCTTCTATTTAACCAATATTTAGATTTGGTCATATGTTAGAAAGAAGGTTTTATTTGAAGTGAAATATTACAATTAAGTATACTATAGTTGCATTAGTTATATAATTTTTACTATTTAACTACAAACTATTTCTTAATAGAGATAGATTGGTTAGCTCATAGAGGCTTTTCTCTTTGTTTTTCTTTTTTTATATTCTTCTGTTTCTTCAATTTTTTTTCTTTTTAATTTCTCTTTTATTATATGTTTTTGTTTTTAGTATTAGTTTTTGTTTTTTTATTCTTAATATTAATTCTGTATTGTTAATATAGAATTTTACTTTCTTGTATTTTAATAAAGAAAGAAAAATTAAAAGAATTAGTTCTCAATGGGTGACAAGGTCTTCTGACTGAATTTTTTTGAAGTTAGTGTAACAGGTCGCTTCTGGGCTTAGTGTATTACAGCAAGGAGATGACAGGCCTGCAATTTGATAAAAACATAATTTATTTGCTATGTTAATAAATAAATAAAGTTTTTTTTTGTATTTGGGCTTCAATGAAACTGTCAAAGAGCTAAAAAAAAA